CCGCCCTGATGTCTGAAAGTTGCTGGTGCCCGCAGGCACCCCCAGGGGCCCGGCCCAGGGGGGCCCTCCCCCCGTTGCGGGGTTTTGCCTCGGGGCCCGACGGGGGCCCTCCCCCCAGCGGAGGTGTCTCGAGTTATATCCGGGATGTTTCCGCGGCGATTTGCCGTCTCATGGACTGTTTGTTTTCCTGGTGAGCTTGCTCCGTCAGGCCTCGTTTGAAATATTGACAACGTCCCCAGCGGTTTAGATCAGATCAGATCCTCTTCCTCCTCCTCCTCCTCCTCCTCCTCCTCCTCCTCCTCCTCCTCCTCCTCCTCCTCCTCCTCCTCCTCATCCTCATCCTCCTCATCCCCTTCCTCGTCTTCCCCATCCTCCTTCTCCTCATCCTCTTCCTCCTCCGCCTCGTCCTCCACCCTCCTCCACGGGCCTTCGCACATCGCAAGTCGCAAGACACCCTCCCTGCACCTCCGCCTCCGCCCGAGACAGGGGAGCGCGCGAGAGCGCGAAGCTGACCGCCTTGTGCGAAGCGCGAAGCTGGAGGACAGGGGCGTGGAGAAGGGCGCGCGGATCCAGACGGCGGAGACGCGCTCGCGTTTCCCCCCCCTCCCCGCAGGCCGCTGCGCCAGCGCTGAGAGATCCGTCGCGGACGCCCCCCGTGGGCCCGCCCCGCGAAAAGCGTGCGCCGGGCTGGCCACCTTCGAGACCCTCCATGCGGCAGGCGTGGAGCCCGGGCCGACCGCGGGGGGCTCGAAGGCGCCCGCAGCTTCGTGCGGCACGGTCCGGGCCGGAGAGGCGCGCCTCTCCAGGAAGACCGTGCGAGAGCGCGAAGGCGACCGCGGCTCAGGCTTCGCGCATGGTCGGCCGTGTCCGACGAAGAGGTGGTGTCGTCCCGAGTGCCCGATGGAAGGACCCGTTGCCCGACGGTTGGACTATCGGCCCACGAGAACCAAACTATGCTTCAATGCTCTGAAGGCCTCCGAACACAAACAATGGTTTCAATAACTACAGACGCTAACAAACTACAGACACAGGTTACAATAACTATGGGCGCACGTTTCAATGAAAACGAACACTGGTTTCAAAACGAACATTGGTTCCAAGAATTGCGAGGAGAAGCGTGCCCATTCAAGCGACAATAGCTGAGGAAAACAGGAAAAGTTTGGAGGTTGGTACTTTTTTTTCGACGTAAACCCATCAGTTCATGAAATACGCTCGTTTGTCGGGTCCCCCGCTTCGTTGCCACGATCGCCACCACGTCGTTGCCGCCCGGCGGTCCCGTTGAAATGTCGGTTCATGCTCCGAGGGTGGATCGTTCAAGCGAAAAGACGCTCGTTCGAGCGAAAAGGTAATCCGTTCAAGCGAAAACCAACCGAGCGAAAACCAATCCAGAGCAGCAGAGAGCAGCAGAGAGCAGCAGAGAGCAGCAGAGAGCAGCAGAGAGCAGCAGAGAGCAGCAGCAGAGCAGCAGCAGAGCAGCAGCAGAGCAGCAGCAGAGCAGCAGAGAGCAGCAGCAGAACAGCAGAGAGCAGCAGCAGAACAGCAGAGAGCAGCAGCAGAACAGCAGAGGAGCAGCAGCAGAAACAGGCAGGAGAGCAGCAGAGCAGCAGCATGCAAGAAACAGCAGCAACAGCAGGAGAGCATCAGCAGAACAGCAGCAGAACAGCAGAGAGCAGCAGCAGAACAGCAGAGGAGCAGCAGAGTAGCCGCAGCAGAACGCAGAGAGCAGCAGCAGAACAGCAGAGAGCAGCAGCAGAACAGCAGAGAGCAGCAGCAGAACAGCAGAGAGCAGCAGCAGAGCAGCAGCAGAACAGCAGAGAGCAGCAGCAGAACAGCAGAGAGCAGCAGCAGAACAGCAGAGAGCAGCAGCAGAACAGCAGAGAGCAGCAGCAGAACAGCAGAGAGCAGCAGCAGAACAGCAGAGAGCAGCAGCAGAGCAGCAGCAGAACAGCAGAGAGCAGCAGCAGAACAGCAGAGAGCAGCAGCAGAGCAGCAGAGAGCAGCAGCAGAACAGCAGAGAGCAGCAGCAGAACAGCAGAGAGCAGCAGCAGAACAGCAGAGAGCAGCAGCAGAACAGCAGAGAGCAGCAGCAGAACAGCAGAGAGCAGCAGCAGAACAGCAGAGAGCAGCAGCAGAACAGCAGAGAGCAGCAGCAGAACAGCAGAGAGCAGCAGCAGAACAGCAGAGAACAGCAGCAGAACAGCAGAGAGCAGCAGCAGAACAGCAGACAGCAGCAGCATAACAGCAGAGAGCAGCAGAGAGCAGCAGCAGAACAGCGGAGAGCAGCAGCAGAACAGCAGAGAGCAGCAGCAGAACAGCAGAGAGCAGCAGCAGAACAGCAGAGAGCAGCAGCAGAACAGCAGACAGCAGCAGCAGAACAGCAGACAGCAGCAGCAGAACAGCAGAGAGCAGCAGCAGAACAGCAGAGAACTCCAAAATCATGGTTCCCGCCATCCTCGGGGCCGCCGTGGGCCCCAGGGGCGCCAGCCAGAGCTGGGAACCA